GTGGATGATGAAGCTCCTCGAAAGACGATAGGTTGTGGGCGACTGCGATGACGAGTAAAGTGAGAAGTTTCATCCTAAAAACATGATTTCCTATAATACTTTTTATGCTCGCCCACATTCAATCTTCCTTTTTTTCTATGGCTAAGAAAGTATAGAAGAAGAAGTTCGTTTCAGAATAAAACTTCTCATTTGACTCTTCATCGAATTGAGAGATCGACCCACAATTTCTTCCCTCTGAAGGGCATCCATTACGCCATTTTCTGTTGGATATTGCAGAGCTTCATGAAAGAAGTGGAGCGCGAGATAGAACGTCATATCAGTGCTACTTTCCAAACACCATCCGTTAGTGCAGTGAATCCTTTTAAATCTGATCTATTTTGGTTGGATGTAATTTTGAATAAGTCTATGAAACTTGATTGCAAGGTTTATAAAATCACTTATAAGGTTTGCGAAATTCAGTTCAAAAATACGAAACTGACTGCGAGATGCGCAAAATCGATCGCAACATTGATGAACTGGGATGGAAAACCCTGTAAAGTAGGATTTGATTGAAAGAATTTCGGTGCCAGACAAAGTCTTTTTCATGATGTTGATAGCAATGTCATTCACTGTCTTTATCACTTCGAAAATTCGTATCTGAGAAATCATCACGTCACGGAGACGTGCTTACTGAAAGGGTCTATCTGGCACGATAAGGATAAGGATGAAGGATAAAGTTTTTGGCGTTAATCAATCCCGTCTGAGGGATGCGCCCCCGCACTCGACTTCCATTCAGAATCGCAGTGGCGTAATGAGTGCGTATGTGGCCTTTACAATGACTTGCGGTGGCCAGCCGATGTACAAGTCAGTGCTTTTATCCTCCCAGACAAGTCTGGTACCAATTAACCGACCCCGGAGGGATGGAAGGCTTGGTTGGCCTAGGCGGGCATCGATCCGGGATTCGGACCCCTGACCGTGCGTGTGATATAGTGCGCCACTTGCCACTACACCACCATCTGGCACGATATTGAATGAAATGAATGCAGCTGAGATTACTGCAGAAGAGACAGCCGTGTTGACTTCATGTACCATCGCAGTCATGTTCATAAGACGTTCAAAGCCACATTCAGAACCACCAGATAGCTAATGGTGCCAGAGTAGGCCTGCGGCAGTACGGGTAATCACTGCCGCTCGATTATAACCAGTCAGTCGTTCGGTCAGGTCATTCTCCGTCCGGACGTAACCTCAGTCGGTCGCTATGATTTTCTCTAGTCTAGTAGTGAATTTTGATTGATCATTTTAAGTATTCGATCATTGTTGTCTTTGTTTGCTTCGTCCCATACAAGGGGCCCTCCATCTATCCATCTGTTGGGTTGAACTTCGGTACCAACTTCGCAACACCAGTACCCTGAAACGTCTACTTCTCTTATGTACGGTCGTATGTAAATGGCAATGGCAATCTCCGACCGAGAAATATTATAAATTCGTGTTATATCGTTAGTTTTTATGAATGTATAAGGATTTGTTCTATTCTCTTCTCAAATGACTCTCAGTCTGTTTTATTTGGGTGTTGAGGCGAAAGCAGAATAGAAACAGTTGTCTTTCGAAAATAGTGTGGATCGAAACTGCCCGGTAACCCTGATCTTTTACAGCCTGCTAGGTTTTTCTTTATGAGACCAGAAAGTACGTTGGCTTACTCAGCTAGAAAGGGGTGCGGTATGAACACCGAGAATGAATTGCTTTACAGAAGATAATTTTCTGACACTTTATCGAAAAAAAAATCGGATTAAAAAGTCATATATATCAAATTTTATGAAAAATAGTGTGACCGTTCACCATTCTCTTTAAAGGGGGCCCTCAAATTCAGGGATGTTTGAATGGAACGTAGTGTTCAGATATTTCTTCCCAAGTTGACACAGAGGTAGATGAGTTGACATGAAAGAGTGCACAGATGTCGATTTTTTTCCATCTTTCCATTTGTATCACACTCCCTCTCGGACCGAGGCTACTACTGTAGAGCTGGATTTCCTTGGATCTCGACTTTTGGGTGGCATGTTTTCTGCTTTGAAGACGTTGTCATCTGACGGGGATCCCATGAATCCTGATGTTTTTTATTTTCGTCTTTACAGTGCTGGCTTGAATGATATTTTTGTTTACTAATAATTCAAAACGTTTAAAGTTGTGCTCGTTACTGCCTCTTTTAAGTTCTTCTCCTAACTCACAAGGTATATTGGTGTGCCTTGTGTCTGTTTG